TGTGGTTTTTATAGTACCTGTTACGAATTTTACCTTAGAGTCATTGGTATGAACCTAGGTTATATAAGTTGCATGTACCCCAATTATGGTTTAAGTTTTGATATGACTGATGTTTCCTTCATGCTAGACTTTTTATTGGATATATTGGTGTGAGGGGTGTAATAAGTCCATGACAGAAAGATGGATTTGTGTTAATTGTGTGTCATATATGCATGTTATAATTTCTTGGTAATATTTGCATATGTTGGTTAAGACAATGCATGCTAGTGATAAAATATGTCTTAATGATGAAGTGATAATATAACCATGATTATATAAAGATTTAAAATGCCTTAATGGTTGATACTTTGTTACTTTATTACATAATATAAAACATGGAAGTAATATTCCATCTAATATTATTAATAGAAATTAAGCATGAGTACTTAGTGAGGCTTGTAGTGTAATCCTTTTGTGATGAATTAATAATATATTAATTAAAACGGGGGATACATTTAGTGGGTCGTAAAGGGTAGCAACCTAGACTTAGGTGTGTGTACCCTATCTGAATACTTGTGAGCGACTTATAGGTTGAAAGACACCTAAAAGGAAAAAGCTTAATCCAGTAGTGATATTGAGTGGTTTTTCTAGACCACCATTCGAGACATGGTCCATGATTGCAAGGAATGAAGTGAAATTGGTGTACTGATGGTGTTCGATCAAATATCAGGTTTGGGTAGAAAATTTCTAGTGATGGGAAGCAATGACAAGTACCACTCTCGAAAAACAAATTCAATACTTGTATTTAAATTGTCAGAGTAGCGAACACAACACATCAGAGGTAACGATACGGGTGAGAGTTGTGCCTTACTTAAAGCATTAGGTCGAGCCAGTCACGTTAGTAGTGAATAAGGTATCTATGTCTTGAATTAGTAATGGACCCAATGGGGAGAGGTTCGGATGATCACTTAGTAGTGAACGAGTTTTACCTTCGGGTTAATGATGGGCCCGTGTGTGGGGTGTTTACCTTACGGGTTAGTAGTGGACCCAAGGGTTGGGTTAGTAATAATTGATATTTTTCTAATATTAAAAGATAAATAATAATGGTAGAACTTAATGGTAACCAAGTGATGAATATGTGATGTATGTGATGGTATGTGTGTTTTCCTAGCATTATACTTATGGTTGACTCACTTAGTATTTCCTGACACTTGTTTCTTTGGTTGTTGCTTTTGCCTTTCATTGGTACGGGTTGCTTGATATGATGACTAGTGAGAATTGGGGGCTTTTGGGTAGTTACATTCTAGTTTATGTTTTAGTAATGATACCATTTGGACATGTAGTTGAGTTTTCCATTATTGTTGGTTTTGCAATCCTAACCTTGAAGGGGATGTTTTTATAATAAAGTAACATTGGTGATGTTTTTTATAATAAATTTTAAATAAGACTTCCACTAATATATTCTCTTAAATAAGTTTTTTTTTAAAATAAAAACAAAATTGGGGTGAAAAATTAAGATGTTACAGGTTCGCAACAACACCATATCATGAATTCCCGTAATACATACTCGAGTCTAATAGATTTCGAAAAATAATACATATCGTAGTCATAATTAACGTAGTAACAAATACCTCAATGAATATCGTAACTCAGCCCTTGGCCGATAACATGTGCCAAAATCCCTTAATCGACATCAAATAAGATCTATTTATACAATCAATGACGCCATGTCGTTCAACATTTCTGTCACGTATCGTTCAACATTCGACACTTTTCTCGATGACTCATGTTATACAATGTCGTGGTGATCATACCACCAAGTTGTATTGTGCTAATAGAAAATACCTACTCATCTTATAAATATCCAAATCTCTTGAAATAATACATGTTATGAAAAACAGGTATTACAAGTACATATAAGTCCCACTATGTATCTCGGTCATTAAGAATACAAATATAGTACCTTTTATCATGTATCACTCATGATAGCGATCCATGAGGTGATCTTGATGCGGGTCAAGTCCAATACTTATTCTCTAATAAATACCTATGAATCTTGATTACAACCTATTGCCTACTTTCATTTTATGAGAGTCAATAAATCAAGTTCATATTAATCTTACTTTATAATTGCTCCCATAATTGTAACTGATTATGAACTTGTAGAATAATTAGATTATTCATGGATTAAACTTTTTAATATAGAACACAACAAGTATTGATGTGAAGATCATATCACAATATATCAAAAAAGTATATAATAGTTGTTGTCAAAATGTTCCAAATACTAAATTCAATATCAAATCCTATTTCTAAAATACCAAAGTCTTGTAACTCTAGCTTGACCTTCAATGTGTAGTTTAAAGAAAATACTTTATTAATAGGTCTTGACTAAATTCAATTTATGTGAATTCTGCAAATACTATCATCTCCATATTTAACTTTATTCTAAGCATAGTTGAATATCTTGGAGAATATGATTGGTGTTTTGATGTGACATAGAGTTTCTTACCTTGATTATGTATACTCTTAAACTCACAAAAGATTTCTTCAACCATTTATTCAAGTTCATCACCTTCAAATTGACACGAGTATGGGTTGCAATTCTCCAAGTTTAAATTCCAACATGATCGCAAAAGGTTACAAACGTCAAATGTGACTGGATACGAAGGTCGACTCTTCAAATTCCGAGCCGGGTGTTGATTGTGAATGATCGCAAGCCATCACAGTCACTTGTAAACAGTTGTGATCCAAGTGTTATTGGCTGTGATTGCGACAAGTCAGGATTGGTTCCGAGCCATCAGAATAAATCAATGTCTTTTGTCATCGGTACGACGGGGCCTTTTATGATTGGTTGCGATTCTTGGGGTACGATCCAATGCAAACGTCAGAGTACGATCAAATGTGAACTTCAGAGTGTTGCAATTGCGAACAATCTCGAAACCAATCAGACTCCCATACATTTAGTTCTTATACATGCATGGATATGGGTTCCGGACTACGTGTCGATTCCGAACGACTTTTCAATTCTTAATGCCTGTTTGATTATGAATGACATGTGCTATAAATTCCGAACGACATGTCAATTCCAAAGTGCTTACTGATGGATATGAAGACTACTTGCTAGGATAAATGGCACAAGGGTTTAGATGGCTAATTGTGTGGATTAACATCTAGAAAATTCTATTTATTTTTGGAAACAATTTTATTTTATTTTGTTGTCTTCTTTTAAGCCTTTATTAGGTAGTTTCATTTTATTTATTAGTTTCCTTTTTGTAATCAATGTAATGCTTTAAATAGTTCTTGGTAGATCATTTGTAAAAGAGAATAATCGAGTTGAATTTTGAAGAACATTTTTTCATCATTTCTTCAATTATTGCATTTAATTCGGATTTTTGTCATTATTTGGGACGTGTTTCTCATTCGTGGATCGATTTCAAGTCAATAGGTCTTGGCTTGTCGTCAAATATCATTTGACGGATGCTTTCTTGATTTTTATAGAATTCAAGTTAATAGGTCTTAACTTGTTTTCACTTGATATTCAATCTATATATCTAGATTGTTTATCAGATCTATCATTTTTCTTATTTTCTTGTCGTTCTTGTTCTAGTTATTGTTTCGGCTGCAATCATAATAGCCCTTAGTAGATCATTTGTAACAGAGAATAATCGAGTTGAATATTGGAGAGCGTTTGTTCAATTTTTCTTCAATTATTGCATATAATTTGGATTGTTATCATTGTTTGGGATGTGTTTCTCATTCGTGACTCGATTTCAAGTCAATAGGTCTTGGCTTGTCATCAAATATCATTTGACGGATGTTTTCCTAATTTTGATAGAATTCAAGTTAATAGGTCTTAACTAGTTTTCACCCGATTTTCAATCTATAGGTCTAGATTGTCTATCAAATCTATCATTTTTTTTATTTTCTTGTTCTAGTTATTTTTTCCGCAGCAATCATAAAAACCCAAAAACAAATCACCCCACCCCCTTATTCGCATCACAAATATTAAACTTCAAATAAATAAATAAATAAAGTTAATTTATTTCTAGATCAACAATAACAGTGTTAAACGTAAAACACCATTTTATAAAATAAAAAACATGCATGATATTCTTATGGATTTTATAAATTTGTTACCTCGAAGATGTTAAGGAAGGTAATTAAGGTGATGGTCATCATTTCATTGACTTTCATTATAATAAGATACAATTTTGTATTTGTTTTTAGAAAAGTAACTTGTCTAACGAGGATTTTGGGTCACTTTTCGTGTATTGATTAATCTTTCTATGTCTGATGCCTTGAACCACTAAAGGTGAAACTTTATTGCCATAAGGGCTCATTGGTGCTATGATTTGAACATACACCTTATTTAAAACCTACCAGATTCAATTGCACCTCTATTATAAGAATTATAAAAATAAAAATTCTCAAATAGAACAATAGATTTTGCAAATGGACTTTTCGTGAATGCCAATATGCAAATGTTATGTAACACAACATGTTAGTGATTGTTAGTGAGAAGGTAGAATAAACGAAGTATACACAGGGCCGGTCCAGACGGTGGGCAACCCGGGCGACCGCCCAGGGCCCATGTCTCCAGGGGCCAAAATTTATGGGCTATGTAGTGTATATATATATATATATATAAATTATTACGTAAATGATTTTTAGGGCCCTAAAAGATAAACAATTTGGTTACTTGTTATTGCTAATTGAACACGTCTGTACTGAAAAATAAATGATCTTTTTTTTAATCTTTATTATATTTGTATTTGGAGGGCTCTTTTTTTTCGGCCCCATATATATGTTTGGACCGGCCTAAGTATACACAATACATGAACATAACACCCGGCCGACTGGGGATATTAAACGATTGCTAAACTTTTTTGTATTGAATTCTCATTCTTATGGAACATAAAATGGAGGAATAAAAGCGAAAATGTTATCAAACAAGCTGCTATAATGCACAAGAGATAGCTACTATCATAAGAAAAACACCGCAATTGGCAGATACATTATTAGATGTCTTCCACATAGGTAACGAACTCGTTATCGTTTTGAAGAATGGTCATTTCTTCTTCTGGCAGATGCACAAATGCAGTAATACCATCTCCTAACGGAGTATCCATCAGAACCAGACCATTAGCCTCCACATTTGGAACTCGTATTGTAACTTCTACTGGCTTGCCCCACCCGAAATCCACATTATAAAATGGAAACCTACACACGCTTGAAATATTATAAACTCGGCTAACATCACCTTGTAGGGTTGAGAACATGTCTGCCACGTTTTCACCTCCTTCCTGCACATCTCTTAGATCATTAAGCTCCATTTTTCCTTTCCTTAGTTCAACAATCAACTCATTCAACCTGATTTCACCTGAATCCGCCATCTTTACTATCACCATCCCAAGTATGTTGCCTGCTGTTGTTTGAGGATAGTTTTCTAAAAATTTGTTCCTCATGTTCACTGTTAAAAACAAGTTTGATGGCTCTAAAGAACCTGACTTTGTTGTCGCTGCACTCACTGCGTGTTTAAATAGGAGAGATACCAACAATTCAACCCGAGTGGGGTTGGTCGGAGCTGTGCACATTGCCATAACCTTGTTCTTGAGCTCATTTAGTTTTGCATTAGGAAATACAAATCTCCTCGACGAATATTTAACCTTATCTATCTCTTTAATCATGAACTCTGGCATAATTTTATTACTTGTGGAGGATGAAATGAAATATGGGTTTATTGGCGACTGAAAACGCTTAGTAATGGCCCAATGGTTGATGAAGGTGGCCATTGTCAATGCGTCAGCAACCTTGTGCGACATTGACACAGCCACTGCCGCTCCACCACAAGCAAAATGGTTCAGCTGGACCTCGACCAAGCCAGGTCTAGTATTGTGAGCAATACAACTCAGACCATAAGGAAAGAGTTGGTCTAGGGCTTCGTCTTGCTCATTTTTTTGAATGAACTCATCGAGTGGACTATCATTAATAGCTTCCAAGAACTCAGCCCCACCGTCGTTGCAGTTAATGTATGGTGCAGGAGGTGTCGGAAACCTACCTGCCAAGGGGTAGTACTGCGTCAAACACTTAGCTAACGATTGCTTTAGGATGTTGGAGTCACCAGTTTTGTACTTTGGGTAGAAGAAAACTATTCGCATACGCATGTTAGGGGCAAACTGATCCAGCAACGAGAGGTTATAAGTGTTTAAGTGTGGAGGTGTTGGTGAAGAGGGTCTAATGGTTTCTTGAGATATTATTGTGTGAAGTTGCCTAATGCTTCTAAACCGTTGGACCTTTGCCATGATTTTGTTCATTATTGTTGATTGTTTATAAATTGGAAGTAATATGGAGATATTAAATTTATCGATCTTTATATATACGACACTGTGTGGTTGGATTTTGAATATTTAACTGGGACAGGTAACAGAGAAATTAAAAAGTATATATATAATTCAAGTGGCCATCTTTAATGATTGATATATTAACCAATGCATGCCCTATGAATAATATTATTACGTTCTATAACCAACTTGCAAAATTAGTCAACGTAGTTGGTTTCACAAATATCTCTTCATTCCCAATTCACCTCTTGCTTTTTTTATTCCCACTACATGCATGCAATCGATAAGGCTTTATAAGTCAACTACTAACTGCACGTTATTTTTCATAAAAACAAACTGGGGTTTGATCGTTTAATTATAAGAAACAACCAGTAGCCTGCACGTCGAGATATATATATATATATATATATATATATATATATATATATATATATATATATATATATATATATATATATATATATATATATATGAAAATGATCAAATGAGAACACCTAAAAGGTTGAGAACGCGAGAACAAATCTGGTACATTAAATATTTAAAATTTAAGGCTGTCATTAATCATTAATTTAAACATAATATTAAGTGATTTTAAATTGTTTTTAATTAAAAAAATATAAAAGGGTATTCAAGTAATTTTATGATGTCATCTATTTTGAGTATATCATGTAAGTTTGACAATTAAAAAAAACCGTTCCTATGTTTTAGTAATCATAGCTAACTTCTTATCTTTGGGAGGAATCGATCGTATCTGCAATGCAAAATATTGTCACAGCTAAACATTTATACGACAATCGATTACTACTGTTCATCCGTAAAGAGATTTGTGCATTCAGAAGTCCGTAAAGGGTTGAAGGTGGATGAATGTCGTCGACCATCAACCGAAGTGGAAGAAGTAAGCTTTCTAATCTTTTTTGAATGTCGATTGAGTGGAAAACGGGTGTAGTAGTGGGTTTAGTTCTTCTTAATGTTTACATTTTAACGATTCTGAAAACCCTAGAATTAGGTTTTTTCGTTTTTTCTTTATATCATCTATTATGAACTGTAGTGACTCAAAATCGTCGATGATTGTTGATTTAAAGTTTGTATTTTACGAATAAAACGATATTGTATGTGAATGTTTAAACGAAAATGGTAATCGTAGATGAGTTTCAATGTTACGGTAGTCTGATATGAAATGTATTTAAGATTAATCGTTTATGATTGTGATTGAAAGTTTTATGATGTAGATACATGTGTAGTCGTAGTCGACTACTTTGAACTTAAGTACGATTATGAAAACCCAAAAATTAGGGTTTTTTTTACTTTTTTTTCCAGAGTCGTCTTGTTGAATGTCAAAGTAAGTAGATTATCAGTACCACAAGAGGAGTAATTGATATTAGTATTCGATTTTGAATGGTGTTTAAGAGCAAAAGAATAAGGAAGGGTATAAATGTCTTCACTATTGATTATTTGTAAAATATGATTGTTTGTGGTACATAATTACCTTTCTAGTATTAATCCTTGTTGTGGGTTGTATATTGTTTAGATTGTTAAAGGCATATTCGGTTGTGAATGGGTCCTTTATTGAGTATGTATATGTTTTTGATCCTGTACATGATGTAGTACGTAATGAATAATGGTGTAGTAGTCCATAATGGTTTTTATGACTAAATTATTTACACTGTTTGTTAAGTGATGATTTTTGTAGACATTACTCTGTTGTTGGGTATGTGTTTGATTGAGTTTGTGTTTACTAGGGATAATGTATGATTATTTTAGTTGATGATGATTCAATTCTGAATTATAAATGAATAAGGTATTTTAATTCTACTATTAGGTAGAAAGAAAAGCGAGAGGATATTACTAAAGACGGCATTCAGCAAATTCACTAATGAAGAATCCAATCCATTGCTTATTGATATTGAAGATGAAGACAATCAAGGAAACGAAACAGGAAAACCTCGGATTAGAAGAGAAGGACAAAAGAAATGTTCAACACCTAAGAAGAAAACTAAAAAACAAACTGGTGGTGATGATGATTAAATGAAAATTCAAATGTTAAATATCAATTGAAATCTATATTGATTATGTATCTTAATTTTTGGACAGGTGTGGAGGAACGTGTGAATTGCACACCAGACAATTCAATGCAAAGGGATCTTAAAGTTGTAGTTTTGAGCTCAGATTCAAGTAATGAATTTGTTTAAAATTAAATTTATTTAAAGTTTGTTTTTGTAGTTAGCTTTAATAACTTGTATTGTTTTATATTTATTAATAGAAAAGAATATGAAAACCAAAGTCAATGTGAAGAAGTTTGCTGCAGGAAAAGAAAGGGTTTCAAAATCTAAAAAAAAGATACAGAAACAAAAAGGTATCAATGATGATTTCATGTAATGTAAGTTGTATATCAAAATGTGTTCAGTTATGATTATGTTGTCTACATATTGACAGGTTTGATTCAAAGTGTTGACATGACAGAAGATAATGAAATACATAGGCAAAATGAATTGAGAACAAAAAGACGGTTTGATAGTTGTAAAATAAAAGGTGATGAAGTTGTTGTTTTAAACTCATGTTCAGGTAATGATTTATTTTTAATTAAATTTAGTATAATTTTATTTTTGTAATTTAGTTATAATCATTTATTGTGCTAAATATGACTTAACAGGAAAACATAAGGTAACTGTCAAGAAGCTTAATGAAGATGAAGACTCTGATTTTGAAGATGCTAAACCTGTGCTTATAAGGAAAAAGAGAATGCATTATACTTCCTTCAAAGATGATGACAAAGAAAATGTGAAGAAATTAAAAAGACAAAAGAATAAAGAAGGAAATGTAGTGAAAGCAAGGAAAATGCCTAAAGTTGTAGGAAATGATGCAGAAGAAGCAAGGCGAATACAAGTACGGACATCTCCAAATGTTTTGTACAGTTGTATGCATAACCTTAGCAAGGAATAGGAAGCGTATATTTCTTCTATTGGTCTGGGGCATTTGTTGAATATGAAAGTGGATGGGTGTGCATCAATTATGGGGCATTATACTATAAGGAATTTTGATACAGATAGGATGGTACTCAACCTTCATCATGGTGATATACCAATTAATCGGCAGGTTATTCACGAACTGTTGGGTCTGCCTCTGGGAAATGTTACAATAAAGTCCATGGCTTATAGAGAAGTTACAGACGACACGATAACTGTTTGGAAGAAACAATTCGATGATGAAGATAATATTAGACCAAGGGCAGTTCAACAAGTTATTATGCAAACAACACGTGCAGATTTACTCTTTAAAGTAAATATCTTTTTGTCCTGCTGTGTAATACACTAGGTCAGTCAATGAGCATGGGAACATGTGACATGTCCATGCTATCAAAAGTCACGAAAGACCTGGATCTAAGTGATATCGATTGGTGTGAATATGTTTTTGATTGCCTTAAGGAGACAAAAAAGTGCATGGAATCCAAAAAGCAAAAAAGGATTCTATGTTGGGCCAATAATCTTACTGCTGGTAAGAGTTGTTATAAATTCAGCTATCATTCAATATTGGTTTACTTATGTGTGCAAATTCATTAAAGTGTATTTAATTAATACAGTATTTATTTGTCTTTGTTGTAGTTGCTATATGTAGAAAGTGTTCGATGCGATTCAGTGAAGATTGTACGAGGCAGACCAGCAATATGTTTTTGGAATGTTGATAAACTGCGTGAGCGAGAAAGAGTAGAGTGTAGGACAATAGGTCTAGGTATGGATGAATTGCAAGAACCATTTCAAGTCATCAATTGTCACACCCCCGAACCGTCAGAACAGACGGCGGAAACGTCCGGGGGCGGATGACGTCATGTGTAGTATCACAACAATCGAATCATAGCAATCAAAGAAAACACAACCATTACATTACAATATGAATATTTACATCTGTTTGAAAACATAGTTTGTACATGACAGCATATAATCATAAGTAAAAGATAAAGACAAAACTCCAGGGTGCTCCGTCTTCTCCAAAAGCTGGCAATAGTACCTATCTATTGTTGTCCTGAGAATACAAGCGGTTTTGAAAACGTATCAGCATAAAGCTGGTGAGTTCATAAGCAGGTTTTTGTATTGAAAACTAGTCACTGAATTTGTACAAATTATTTCTTTTCATTACAAGTAAAATATCGTTTGTATCGAAATCCTGATCAATCATCAGTAAGTAAAGTATGTTTCATTTGAAAACCATGGATATCACCAGTAAGTAAGGTATGTTCCGTTCAAAAACTCTGGCTACCGCCAGTAAGTGAGGTACGTCTCGTTTGAAAATCCAGGCTACTGCTAGTAAGTAAGGTAGTTTTATTACTTAAAATAAAACTAAAGGTTGTGTCCCTGGAATACCCTCCAGTAAGTAGATAGGTAGTTTAATTAATTAAAATAAAACTATTGAAGAAAGAAATCCTGTAAACAAAGGTTAGTTTATACTTATTGTGAGTCGTATAACCATGCTAATATGACCGGTGACCTCCTTGACGTTCTTCAGGCGTCGTACGATTACAAAATTTGTCACCCCAGGCGTGCCTGCCTAACTGTAGCTAGCAGTTTAGGTGTGGGATTGTCGGTCCCGAATAGATCTATTCACAAATTTCACGCTATCCCTCCAGGAGACTCTGCTTGTACTTAACGGTGAGGATTTATTGGTACCCCGAAGGGCATAACGAAGATAGGTCTCACAATCCTGTATTGACTAGTTTACGTGTAGTTCGGTTGTGCTCGAGTTCGAAATCGTTGTAAACGGGGTAGAGTATAAATAATTATACACAAAATAATTATTTAGCAAGATACTCCAGTTATCTGTATGGATAAACTAAACATGTCATAGTTTATATGTTTGAATCTGTAAAACCGGTAAAGAATTTCCCAAACTATACCTATTATAGTTTGACTGATAAGTTGTGTTCATGTACTGTTCTGAAAACTATGCAATTATGTTTAGAAACGTCCCTTATGCTCTGCATATTACAAAAGGGTTAAAGTATCTAGATGTTTGGTAAAACCGTGGTAATTGCATCAGTTTTTAAGTTATGAAAACCTTTATGTTTAGCTTGTATTCCCCCTGAAAACGTTTTAAAAACTATAAAAGCATAGGGGTATGAACTCACAGTTGGTCGGATGCGAAGGATTGAACTGGATGATCCTTGAGTTGGTGTACGTTGCACTTAACGGAATCCTAATATCAAATAAATACATATATGTATCTAAATTAGCGATTTTGTTAGATAAAGTGTTAGGTAAACACTTGCGTTTGGTTAAGGAATGTTACCGGAACTTGGTTGAATCGAGAAAACAGGCTTTTCCCCACGAAAGAGCTGTTTACGGTTGTGACTGGAGTTTACGGTCAACAGACCGTGTACAGGTTTTACGGTCGACAGGCCGTGAACAGAGTGTACGGTCTATGAAGATTGCTGAGTTTACGGTCTATGAAGATTGGCGAGTTTACGGTCGCAACGGGTTTACGGTCTATGAAGATTGACCGTAAACTCAAGAACAAGGGTGCTTGTTTTCGACTAAAAAGTGTTCCAGAGGCTCCCAAATGGCCCCAAATGACAATTTCCGACGTTTTTCGGGTGAAAAGGGGGATTTTTGGGTGTTTACGGTCAAGAAGTTTAGAGAGAGAAAGGGGGTGTTTCCGGTCAAGAACGTTCAAATGAGGGTGGGGGTCCAGTATTTATAGGCTGGGAGGTTGGTCGGTGGTGGGGTCCACCTGGCACCGACCGTAAACGGGTTTACGGTCCGACCGTAAAAGCGTCCGGACCGTGAAATCGGAGATTTTCGAGATAGTTTCGAGTTTTTCGCTTGATTCCTGGTTTATCCCGACTCGTATAAAATACGTATTATTTATTTATTTAAAACTTGCAGCCTTTCTCAAACTAAGAAATTTGACGGTATTTAATAAAAACTCAAATTTTATTAACGGAAATTGGGTGAAGATAACGGAAAAAGTTTCGGGTTGTCACATCATCCCCCTTTAGAGGGAATTTCGTCCCGAAATTCAAACATAGAATACAAATCATGAATTAGGAAAGAGATGTGGATACTTCTGTTTCAGCTGATCTTCGCGCTCCCAAGTGAATTCAGGTCCCCGCTTGGCATTCCAGCGAACCTTCACTATCGGGATGCGACTTTGCTTCGTTCGTTTGATCTCTCTGTCCATGATTTCGACCGGTTCTTCCACAAAGTTGAGATTCTCGTTGATTTCGATCACATCGAGAGGGATAACAAGTGTCTCATCAGAGAGACACTTCTTTAGGTTCGAGACGTGGAAGACATGATGAATGTTGCTAAGTTCTTGAGGTAAACGAAGTTTATAGGCTACGGGACCGATCCGAGCGAGAATCTCGAACGGCCCAATGTATCTTGGATTTAGCTTTCCGTGCTTTCCAAAGCGTATCATGCCTTTCCAGGGTGATACCTTTAACAGAACACGGTCTCCAACCTGGAACTCCAAGGGTTTACGTCGTTTATCGGCGTAGCTCTTTTGTCGATCTCGTGAGGCCTTCAGTCGTTCTCGGATTTGCACGACCTTTTCGGTATTTTCGCGGATGATTTCTGGGCCAGTGAGAGTGCTGTCAGGGACTTGCCCCTTGGCTAGCTGCATGTCACCCACCTCAGCCCAGCACAGAGGGGATCGGCAGTTGCGGTCATAGAGGGCTTCGAAAGGCGCAGCCTTGATGCTGGTATGGTAACTGTTGTTGTAGGAAAACTCGACCAAGGGCAAATGGGTGTCCCATGACTTACCGAAGTCAATGACACATGCTCTCAACATGTCTTCCAAGGTCTGGATGGTTCTCTCACTCTGCCCATCTGTCTGAGGATGGTAAGCTGTGCTCATATCCAACTTAGTTCCAAGAGCTTTCTGCAGTGACTGCCAAAATCTCGAAGTGAACCTGCTATCTCGATCGGAGATAATGGACACAGGCACACCGTGTAGTCGGACTATCTCTTGGATGTAGATTTGTGTGAGCCTCTCCATTTTGAAGTTTTCCTTGATCGGCAGGAAGTGGGCGGATTTAGTCAGTCGGTCGACAATTACCCAGATGGCGTCGTGCCCACTTGGATATTTGGGTAACTTGGTGATAAAATCCATAGCAATCCTCTCCTACTTCCACTCAGGTATCTCCGATTGGTGGAGTAGACCTGAGGGCTTCTGATACTCAACCTTCACCTTGGCGCAAGTCAGGCACTTGCCCACGAAGGTAGCGATCTCTGCTTTCATGTTTGGCCACCAATACAGTTTCTTGAGATCGAGGAACATCTTGTCTGAACCTGGATGAACGGAGTACCTAGTCATATAAGCATCGTTCATGACAACCTCCCTGTAAACACCGAACTTTGGGGTCCAGATCCGGTCCATGAAATAATAGACTTTGTCGCCCTTGATCTCTAGGTTCCTTCCCATTCCTCTCAAGGCTTTACCCAGCATGTTTTCTGGTTTTAAGGCTTCCAGCCGAGCCTCCTTGATTTGCGCGGATAAATGGGAATGGATAGTCATGGTTAGTGCCTTCACTCTACGACCTGAGTACTCCTTCCGGCTGAGGGCATCTGCCACCACATTGGCCTTGTCGGGATGGTAGCGGATTTCGCACTCGTAATCGCTGAGTAGCTCAACCCATCGCCATTGTCTCATGTTCAACTCCTTCTGGTTGAAAATATGTTGCAGGCTTTTATGGTCAGTGAAGATAGTGCACTTGGTTCCGTAGAGATAATGTCTCCATATCTTCAATGCAAAGACCACTGCTCCCAATTCCAGGTCGTGCGTTGTGTAGTTGACTTCGTGTGCTTTCAGCTGTCTTGAGGCATAAGCAATGACTTTTCCCCTTTGCATGAGCACACAACTTAGGCCCTGATTGGATGCATCACAGTAGACAACGAAGTCCTCCGTCCCTTCGGGCAGAGACAAGATAGGTGCGCTGCACAGGGCCCGCTTCAACGTTTGGAACGCAGTGTCTTGCTTTTCACTCCAATAGAAATGTACGCCTTTCTGAGTCAGAGTGGTTAAGGGTTTGGCAATTCTGGATAAATCTGCGATAATAGCCAGCGAGACCCAAGAATTGACGGATTTCTGTGGGCGTCTTTGGTGCTGACCAGTTCTCTATCGCTTTGATTTTGGAGGGGTCCACGTGTATGCCTTCCTCGCTTACCACGTGACCTAGGAAGGTTACTTTTCGAATCCAGAATTCGCACTTGGAGAATTTCGCGTACAGCTTCTCCGTCCTTAGAGTTTCCAGCACCGATCTCAAGTGTTGTCGGTAATCTTCCTCACTTCTGGAATAGACAAGTATATCTTCAATGAACACGATTACGAACTTGTCCAGGAAAGAACGGAACACCCGATTCATCAGGTCCATGAATAACGCCGGTGCGTTGGTTAGACCAAAGGGCATTACTACAAATTCGTAGTGACCATACCGACTCCGAAATGCTGTCTTAGGAACATCACTCTCATGAACTCGCAGCTGATGGTACCCTGATCTTAGGTCTATTTTGGAGAAGTAGCTGGCTCCTTAAAGTTGATCGAAGAGGTCGTCGATTCGAGGAAGTGGGTAACGATTTTTGACGGTGAGCTTGTTCAGTTCTCGATAATCAATGCACATCCGAAAGGATCCATCGGTGACAACCGGAAACTTCTAGCTTGTAAGATCAGTTAATGTTATCAAGATTAAAC